TTTCAATACTAAGATATTTATAAGGGTTATCATTAGTTACTCTTGGTAATTCAGCTATTTCTCAATTTATTTAATCATTGATATTATTCATTATCCAACTCTTTTCTACATTTATTTTTAATCATACTTAATTAAATATTTCATTTGTTAATTTGTGGGCTTTTTCCATTTCTTCGAGCTTGTTAGTTATTATCTTTAGATCGTCAATATATAATATGTTGTTTAACTGTACTTGTTTTTCTTCTCCATTCATTTTAATAGATAAAATATTAATTTATTTATCTAATTAATTAGATAATATATCAATAGATAATACAAATAATAATGGAGATAAACTATCACCTTGTATTATTCATCTTTCTACATTAATTATACACACATTTTGTTGATTATAATATAATTGGAGTTGTGTGTTATTTAATATATATAATATACTTTTAATTACAACTAATGTGATGTTAAAATAAATTAAACATTGTTTAACAAATTGATGATTAATACTATCATATGCTTTAGAGACATCATAATATGTTTCTACCCATTTCCATTTAGCCTTGATTAATAACTGTTGGATTATATTATTGTATAATAATCATTCTTTTGATGCATATGTATATTTTTACATCCAATTTGATTTTGTGATAATTGTTTTTCAATTGGATTTAACATCAGTTGGCTTTCTATCTTCATCTTTAATAAAGATGTATATACTTTTAACAGACAGTTTAAACAAGTTATTTGTCTGTAATTTTGTGGGTCTAATTTATCTCCTTTCTTGTATATTAATATTGTCCTTCCTTGGATAAATTGAATATAGATATCATTATGATTATACAACCATTCATTAAATAATTTTAATAAGAAATTCTTTGGTTGTTCTAAATATTTAATCCAGAAGCCTTGTATTTATCAATTCCAGGTACTTTCCAATTATCAATGAATTTTATTGCATGATTTAATTCATCTAAAGTGATTACACACTTCTATTAATAATTCTATTTTCAATTAATATTTCATATAAATTATTATTTATGAAATCTATATTGGTGTTTTTTCATAGATTCATTTCCAGAAATTAATTGTAGTAATATTATCTGGATATTCATCTTCTTATGTTTATTTAGAAGTTGTCTCTTTCATTATTTTAACATTTTATAATTCATTCTTATCCTTTTCCAATTATTCTTACTTCTATTTCTATTCTTTTCATTCTTTGGAGGTATTTGTAATAGTTTATTTGCTCATTTGTTTTTATTTTAATATGATATATATCATATTTTTAATATGTAATATTCTTTTTATTTTCATATATTGGTTATTATGGAGTAAGTCTCTTAATCTACATATTTTTGATTGTAGTATTCTTTCTATACTTCTCCTTCCACTTCTTTCTTGATTGTTATTAATAATGATGTTAATAGTTGATGTTATAGTTTTAATATAATGGTAGTAATCATCTAATGTATTGATTAATATTTCATTTGTATTAATGATATTAATTATTTGATGTATTTTGTTTTTATTGTAATAATAATTAATAAATTGTACATCTTCTTGTTCTTTCATTTATTCTTATTTATTTATTCTTATTACCTCTTGTATTTCTTCTTTCTTGTTTATTTTATTATTTCTTTTAATTCAATATCTTTCAATTTGTGTGTTATTATTTCTTCTTTATTTCTTCTATTGACTTCATTTTTAATTTCATTCTTTATTTTAAATGTTTTCTTTATTATTTCTTTATATTCATTAATATCTTCTATTTTAATATCAATTTCATGTATTAATCTTTTTATTTCTTCTTCTTTAAGTTGATTTCTTAATTTTATTTCTAATAACTTCAGTGTAAAACATTTATAGAATGTTAGAATTTAATCT